GGCCTCTGTTTTGTGTACACAGCACTCTATCCTGCCTGTTGCCTGGTGATGTGTCTCAGCTCCAGCTATGAAGGAGATAATGGTTGTGCTGTTGCCTAATCTCAGCTTCTATCTCCTGTCAAGACTGCTGTTATGTGAATCAGACAGGCAGGTTAGGTTTGTTTTATACAGTACCAGTATTGTGTGTTTTTTTCATTCTGGGCTACAGTTCTCTCTTCTATTGACAGCAACAAACCTGGTCCTGTGCAATTAAAGCACCTGATTTCAAGTGCTATTAATTGTATGATTTTATTCAAATAGATCAAATCAATCTGGTTGCCACTTACTGTATGGCCTATGATATAGCCATATATCAGCCAACTGTGTGACTAAAGCTGGCACTGTTGTGGCCGTACGTTGGACCAGACAACTTTCAAACCTGTCTCAACCAGCATAGAGCCAGAATTAGTATTAAAGTATGAGCCAGACCAGTTTTGCTATGTGGGTTGGCATCTCTGATATAACAAAGAGATACAATTACAGAAATGTTTATTCCAGACTGTATTCTATGTTAGAGCAGTAGTTAAGCATACTTACCATAAAGTGGTGGTGGCCAGGTAAGACAAGAAAAGAACCATTAGTACTACATCAAAAGGTGTAGTACTAATGCCAACATGCCATTCTGATTATACATATTAATATTTGTCAATAATATATATACTCATCCTCATGAGAACGGTTGCATAAATTCAGCCCTTTAACTTCAAATACAAAGATCAGTCCTGTTCATTTGTTTCTTCAAGCACATTCTTCTCAAATCATATTGAGTTTCTCTCGTTTCAAACAACTTTTATAGAGTCATTTGTAGTTTGAGCCTTCCAGTAGTGTAGCTGACAATATGTAAACATGTCTCCACTGTTAGACTAGATTTTGGTGGCTGTTAATTTTAGGCATATTCATGATATTTTAGTGCAGGGTAAATATGGGGGGTAGAATAGATATACCTTTAGAGTTTAACCAGATACACATAAGTCATTTCCTTCTCTTCAGTTCAGAGGTAAATCTATTCATCACACACTGATGAATGATGAATGCAGTCAGTGCCTACCATCACATTAGTCATAAAGCCTTGGCTGAAGGAAACCAGCCTGCGGGCCAGACTCCATTATGCTGAGGAGCAGCCCAACGGGTGCTTTCTCCAGCCTCACAAATTAAGCTCAGGATTGTCTGTGTTTTACTGACAGGATGTGGCCTAACCTGCTGTCCAAAATGCCTGCCAAGTCTGCAAAGTCAACCTCTACTCCTCCAGCCTGTGTACAGTCTGCTGCCCACAGTGTAGTGGCCACAATACTGTCGAAAGTGCCATGTATAAGTACACTCAAGTACTATACAGTAAGATTCTGAGGGTGATAGTACATTACTTGAGTATTTTAATTATATTTTATGTAATTTAATCTTTCAACTACATTTCAAAAAGATTGTAATTTTTACTCTACTATATTACATAAAGTGTTACCATTATTTAGATCTGTTTTAACAATCTTATAAGGGCTAAGCAGTAATTAGATGGTATTTCATATGATGCATCTATCACGCATAACATTAGATGCCTAAAAGTAGAGTACGGTACTGTAATCAGCTAATATGTTGCAGCTAAAGATGATTCTTGCCATCACAGTTTCTCAAATATTCTCTCTTAGTGTCTCGAGGATTGCAAGACTTCCCTCTTGTCAGACAAGGTGTCTGGTTGCTCCTTTGTTTGACTATGATAGGGACTTTTCAGTTTGGCTGAGTCACACCTGACTTGCTCTGACGGACCAACAACAAAGCCCTCATGAACCATAGAACACTTGCTGAAGTGATGCAAGGCCGTTATCAAGCTATAGTGGTAAATAAAAAGGTGGGTTTCTGGCTGTAATTTCTAAAAGATTCTGTGAAAATACAGCCAAAGGTAATAACATCTGTTATACTCTCTGACTGGCTGCTGGAAGAATAGAGCTCATACAGAGTGCTGTGGGCTGTTTTTCTTCACACACTATTTTCCTCTCCCCTTATTTTAACCTCACAGAACTTGCTGAACAAGATCTGAGATCGTGTCCCTTAAGACGCGAGGCAAGCAGCAACATGTGGATGTAGAGTCAGGATGAAAACATGGATGTGGGTGCACTCAGCATTGATGAATTATAAGATTCATGGCTAACTAAGCAATGGGTGAATACATGTCATGTAACAGACACAAGAGGCAGTTCATTAGGTACAGGAAAGCCTTTGACATATTATGAATGTAATGTGGACATTACAGTAATTCACCAGCTGAGCGGTCTCATGACCAATTATTTTTTAGCAATTTTTGACAATCAGTAAATTCCTAAATTTGGCTTTTTACAAGGTGACCTAAATTGTTTGTGTAAGTAAAGTACTTTCCTGGAAAGTCTAATGACATAATTGCTGAGCGTTGTAAGGTCAAAGTCCACACGGAGAGGGAAAGAAACTGTGAAGCGTAAAACATGCCCATATAAACACACAGTAACTAGTATACTGCTACTGTGTCAACATGTGTCCCTCCTGTGCGTTAATGGAGCAACTCGGGGATGTGTCAGGATCTGTACTGATGACATCAGTCTTGGCACCCTTGATTCCAGCTTTGCAATAAATTGACGCATTCATGATTACAAATGAGGCCTGATATGTAGAAGCAGTATCAGATTATGCAGTATTATGCCTATATAATGTTACGTGGATGGTAGTAGGGCAAATAGTCATGTATTAGCAGCTTTTTGGATTTGTTTGTGTGGGGTTTTTGGTAGTCAAACTACTGAACAGAGTCTTAGTGCTCAGATGTTTTGACAGGATCTTCTTAGCATATTTATTAGGACTAGCTGCGGATTCTATCGATAACAGCTCAATTCAGGCTGCCTGCACACACAAGGCCTCTGAGTAATTGTGTGATTTAGATTCACACTGAAGGTGGCTGCACAGCTGACTGCAAGGTTGCCAGAGCAAACTTTGATGGTACAATGTGAGTTAGGTGGGAGTATTTCTATCTTTTGTAGACTGCCTATCTGCTGTGTTCTGCTGTCTGCACCAAGACATGCAAGGGGACAGATGGTGTCCAACATTTATAGGTTATAACCTGTGGGATACAGCTGGATTGTGCAACTATCTTCATAGAAGGCAGTATTGCTGGTAACATGTCGAGGCAGCGCAGAGAGAAAGGGCTTTTTCATTACTTTTTAGGTATGTTTTTTTATTACCCAGCTTTATCAAGGTCCGTTTGTTGTAATGGGTGTTAACTTTGATGCATCTTAAACACAAGGAAAGGTAAGGTTTTGGTGGCTGTTGCATCACAACTCTTTGGCCAGGAGATGGCGCAAACTCTTTGTAAGAGTTGACTGAAAGCTTGTATAGAAGATCATTACTGAGTCACATTTTAGCACAGTCCAGAGCATTATGATGACTTCTTTCATGTACTCTTTAATAAGAAGAAGTTTTCATGTTTCCAAGGATGATTTGCATTCTTTTATTTTTTGTGAATTAACAATAACAGTTTATCATGGGCGGCTGTAGTGAAAATTATTATTTCATGAGTTAAAATCATTCAGAGGAGTCATTGCCCTTGAATACCAAAGGAGAGGTGTGGTGTGTTGACTGCATAATGCTGGCAGTCTTGCATACATTAAGATGCAGTGTGGCCTTATTTGACATCACCATCTGCTAGATAGTTTCGAAATGCAACAGCACATGACAGGCATGCAGTATAAACTGACAAACTGCAAACTGAACTACCACTAGCACATGCATAATGCTGTAGTATAGGCTACAAATTACATGGCTATACAATTTAAACCACAGCTCACTGGGACTATGCAGAACTTAGAGGGTTTGAAAGAAATGGCCTTTCAGAATAATTCTGACTGATGCCCTGAATGGAGTATATGTGATAGCAGCGGCATTTCCTATTTATGGCCCAATTAACCCTTACCTCATATATAAATAGCTGAAAATACAATTTGGAAAATAAAGGAACAGATCGCTGTTTTTTATGTGGTGTTATGTGGGCCTAGCAGCAGAGTCAGAATAAATTCTCAGTGGAGGGATGACAACCTCTGACAAGGTCGCATATGCTGCAGGCTACTGTTATGGTTCTGAACTGAAGTCTTACTGACAGTTAGTCATTTTTGCATAACATTAGACCTCTGATTTCCAGGAAACGCATTAAGCTACTACACAGCCAGCCAGGCCTACATCCCCACAAGTGGAAATAATGATGTTCCACTTGTAGCTGCTGTTACTATTTGTAATTAATGCAGAAAAGTTATTTAGATATGCAGTCACAAACTCCAGCCTCTGTGACAAAGGTAACAAAATAAAGAGGTCCTGGAATGTAGCAGGCTCCTGCTACTGTCTTTGAGAATATAAACTGTTGGTGTTTATTTATTTATTTATTTATTTGGGGTAGCTATGGGGTGCCAATGTGCGTTTACAGATACCACTCCACCACCGGTAAAAGTCATTTGAACATATAGTTTGCCAAACAAAGGATGTCTGTTAATATCGAACAGCAATGGCACGATTAGATATTAAGGCTTTAGGATAAAGCTTTTCCTTTCGATCTTTCGCGGGAATTCCCCACGTGTGACTTCATGTGAAGGAGAATGAAAACAGAAAGTATGCTGGCGATGGAGCATAATCTGCAGTCACTGTAGTCAACAAGGAGAAAATGCTTTACTGTCACTATTTTGTATCTTTCACTTTATTAAACCCCAAACCCTGAATTCTTGCCTTATGATATGGAAATGTTTTGATGACGCTCGGAGGACGTACCTTGATTTAACCGCAGGGGTGTACTCACTGCTACTGCCGTTTGAACCGTCTCGATTAATGAAACTACTCTATTTTCAGCAAGGAAATGTACGTAAATCTCGTACAAAGAATTAGAACCTGTTGTTAATGTTTTTACTAGGATTAAATTGGCCAATAATTAAACTACTGCTGAATGTTTTCACCCCTCGAATAAAACTAGTGGGCCATTCCACTGAGAGGGGATAGAGGTTCCTGTATCTGCTGTGGATTTGCCGTGACGCGCAGATGTTTGTGTGCTCGCTGGGAGAAGGAGAACCGAGGTGTCCACATACAAGGAACAGCTGTCCGAAGACACTCTTTAAGATAAAGGTGAGTTTCATAAAAGTGGTGTCCTAATATCCTGGCGACACCTTCGTTTTGTTGGATACCTCACCGTTAAACAGCGCCAAATAACGGTCACGAATCAGCCAGAGCGGAGTACTCGGAGGATGCTAGCTTAACTTCTTGTTAGCAGGCATTTGTTTAACTGTGTGTGTGTGTGTGTGTGTGTGTGTGTGTGTGTGTGTGTGTGTGTACCCTGGTCACTGCTGATATTCCACAGGTTTTGAGGCATTTGAACTGCTGACAGGGAGACTAATACGCAGTGTTGAAGGTGAACTTTATGTGTGAATCCAACGAAGTGAAAAGTTCAAACGGAGCCCGAGCCCCGTTATTGCTATCAGAGGCTATTCTTCTCCAGCACCGTTGAGTGTAATGTAACGTTAGCTAGGGTTAGTGTGGCCATTATGTCTTACAAGTGGCGCAGTGAAAGCCTGTAGATAGCTGTAACCCGTGCTCATGAGCATGTAGCATCTATAACGTTATTATTTGTTATTTATTTACATGTAAGTTAACAAGAGAGTGTCAAGGTGTTGTTGTTGTTTTTAAACCTAGTTGCACAAAGAAACTGTTTTTCTTTAAATGAATTTGCTTTCCACTGAGCTAGTACATCTTGAATTTGAAGTTGAAAGAGAAACATTAGGTGTAATAGAGTCCCTAGTTTACCAAATGCAACGAAAGGCATCATGGATACAATAAACTGTACATATATTCTGATTATTGGTTTGCCAAATGACTTCCAGATACCACAGTGTGATATGATATCGCCACTGTCACCAGTATTACTACATGTCTTGTGGGCTATAACGGAGCAATTATGTCTCCTTTAGTCTCTGAAATGGTTCTGCTTTCTGACGGTTCAGGCTTGCTTCCAGTTTATGGATGTTGTACAGCTGAACAAATGTATTTCCCACAGTTCTGAATATATATCAGTCTAAATATTTGTACTCAGAATCACTCGTGTTGGGTGCTAGATGTAGGCATTGGATTATTGACATACTGTAAACCCATAAGAGAGATGTACACAGCAATAATGAGTCCCTCCTCTGAATGTTTTGAAGTTAATCCCTCCTCTCTGTACATGTCACCTCACATAAACCAAAGCCATCTTACATACCAGTTGTCCAGTCCTGAGACATATGCTCTTTTCCCATAGAGGTAACAGTTGGTTTTAAGATATGACTGCTCATGTTTGGATTGTTGTTTCTGTGTGGGGATGATTGCAGATTGTGTTTAACACCATGGGACCCAATATATATATAGATATATTGATTATAGAGTGATTATAGAGTGAGAGACTGTCCTGTTCTCTATGCTGTGTCAGCATTTAGCTGTACCATTGTATTAGCCTGTGTGGCAATTTATCAATAACACTTAAAACATAAGAAGACACTTCCTTTTTTACTGTAGTCTGCACTGAAAATAGTATGGACCAGAAGATATTCCCCCACTGACACTACCAAAAAATGCATTTTTAATAAGTGTATTTGAAAGTGTGACCTAATTATGAAAAAAGAGCTGGGTGGATGTGCAAGCTCCTGGTATTTAACCATGTGCTCTCTTTATTTTCCCCAGAAGCACCATGGATGAAGAGGAGCAGTTTGTGAACATTGATCTGAATGACGACAATATTTGCAGTGTCTGCAAGCTGGAGACTGAAACAGGGACTTTATCTTTCTGCCATGTCTGCTTCGAACTGAGCATTGAAGGTAAGAAACAGGACTGGGGGTGACAGTTGCTTGTTTGCTCAGTAGAGTGAAGAGCAAACAAAGAGAAGGTGAGGGGGAAATTTAGCTCTTCACATACAGCTAATACATTTGAGGTAGTTAATGTTTGAAAGCAACCTGCAGCTCGTGGTATACAGTGTAGCTCCATAAGGATTCATGTTTGTTTTTTCACCACTGTGTGACCTCTCCATGCTTTTTAACTCCTGCACATAGCTGCCAAGAGTCTCCAGCATTTAGATCACACAGAAACATCCGGATTAAGTTTCTGATCTTCACTCCCCTATCATAGTGAATATGCACTTACAGCCTCAGAACCTTTCAGCTTTGTTGATGTCTCTTATGATTGCTTTCCACACACGCCTCTTTTCTCCTCTCAAGGAATAACGTATAAGATATATGTGCAGGGTAATGGGCTTGTGGGACCAAAGCTCTCACTAAAGCAGGCCACTTTCTCCCGTTTGATGTGCCACTCCAACTCAAGAGCATGTGTTTGAAGTTTTTTCATCTCTTAATTAATGAGTGGCCTATTTGAAGAAGAATGGTAAATCAGAAGGGATTAGATATGCCTCTCATTCAGCACACGTCTCATAGATCCACAAAGGCTCTTTTCTGCAAAGGAGAAGTGTATGTTTATGTCTGCACAGTAGGATTGTGTACGACTTGTAAAACAGCGTGGAATAGCTGACTAAGAGCTCCCACAATGTTATATCATTCTGTTGACAGCAGGAGAAAATGCATATGCATGAAAGATTTATAGGTCTGTGGTATAATGGAACTGAGTGTGGGGGTATTGATTAATGGCCCTGTTCTTTGTGTGCTGTAAAAGAGTCTTCAGCCATTATTCTGAGATGTTAGAGTAGTACTTGCCTTACAGTTGTGTTAGGAAGTGCTTGCAAGCTCATTAATCCTCAATCAGCAGAAAAATCATCTAAATATTATGGAAGGTTGTAGCCATGTGCATATAGTAAACCTATAAATAACTGATATTATAAGACTTTGTATTTACTAAAACAAACGTAGTACTTTTAGTAAATGATTGATCTGGATATATAGCATGTAGTACCACATACATTTCATTTATTTACACATTTCTTCCTCAGCAGCTGTACATATTGTTGCATGTTTAAAATCTAAATACAGTTCTCTGGGTCAGTTTTATTTGTATTTTTTTCTTTGTTGCTCACTAGCATCCTATTTAGACATATGCTTCACTGAATGTCTGAAGAGCATAACCTAGCTTTTGACCAATATGGTTATTCATTTGTCGACATTCCACAAAGGCAGGCTTAGCTTGTCGGACTCAGTTGGAGCGTCCTTGCTTGCTCCATTTAATGTTTCAGCCAGGTTGCCTTGTTCAGGTAGGAAAAAGTCAGCTTGTGGGGATTGGTATGTCGTTAAACCGAATGGAAGAAAACTGAGGCAGCCCTATGCGCTGTTTTTCAAACTGCATCGATACCATGGTGTGATTCTGGGGGTACAGGTTTTGATGTCGCCTGTGTGTGGCAATGAAGTGGCAGTTATGTAACTGTTGAGTCTGGGGGGAGAAAATGGGGGGGGGTTGCAGACAAGCACGTGTTTCTGATGCAGCTAAGCGTTTCTGTGGTGGGAGGGGAGCGTGCCAAGCTGCATGTGGCGACTTTAGACATGGCTGATTGGAAACTGTGGCCACGCCGTGTGTTCGCAGACTGCTCATGTCCACTTAATAGCCACAGAACTCATTTGTCCTGTGCCATCCTTCGTTAAAGGGGACGAGGACTAAAGTTCAATCACCTCAACAGACACTGACAGAGTACAAAAAACATGAAGAGGTGAGAGTGGTTTTCATCTCCCATTGCACACACAAACACACCCTCCCAGCGCCTTTCTGTCCTAAACCATATCATGGTGTCTTGTGATTTGCTGCTGCTGAATATTCATTGCCTATTTGTTCTGTGCTGGTTTGAAATATTTATTAGAAGCAGAATTGCTTCTTGGAGTATATTTCGATGTACGAATCACAGTTGTGTCATATATAAAGGCCGTGTGTATTGCTAAATTAACTTTGAACAAAATGAATTGTATAATTGCAATGAGGAATAAAAGGGTTCATGCAGGACAAGCAATTAACCTCATTTCTTTAAGTATATTTCGTTTCATTGAAGGAAAGCACACCCACCCAGCATATTTGATGGGTTGTTAGTTATGGTATTAAAATCACACTGATTCTGAATGTATTCCTTTGCATTAAAATGGTACTCCACTGATTTAGTTTTTCCATAGGTCGCACAAGAGATAGAAAGAATGGTGATAATCGGTGCAGAGAGCTGAAATATCCTGTTTTTTAATTCCTAGTATGGCACAACCTCCAAAAACGCTGGATTAAACATTTCCCTTTGTGCAATTTGATACTCTTTAATGTCTAAAATTGTATTTTTAAAATAAATTTGAACATGTTGCTGTTGGGTTAATGCTCATCATTAACTAGCCACAAAGTGTAGCTTTGTCACAGCAGAGAGCGGCTCATTATGAGTTAACTGTTTATACTTAAGTATTCGTTTCCACCCACAGCCTCCCCAAACTCTGCTTGGAGGTTTGCATGAAATGGGGGTGTTCAGACATGTCTGTTTAAACGTCAGCGGCTGACACATACAATAGTCAGACAGTAGTGTACGTCAACCTAAGCACAGACAAGATCAATAAGAATACAAACTATTTGTCATCTTCACATTTCAACAGATTGTGTATGAGCTTGGAGCCAGGTGCTTATGTTGACGGAGTTGTTGATCACCGAGGTTTCAGCTCACAGTAGCACCAGCTGCAGATGTATGTGAAGGCTGTCTGTGGCAAAAGCGTAGAGCACAGTTCGAAGCAGGGTGAATGTTCAGGAAGTGCAGCCTTTGTTGCAGCTCCAAGTGGTTGTTTCCTGGGGAAACTGCTTTGGCCTGTGTGTAATGGTTCCACCAGAAAGTACAGAATAAAAATCCTGACTATTTATATATTGCTCAACCGCTGCCTTACTGGGCATTTGTTACTTTCAGACCTTTAGTTCCTTTTTTCTTACTGCACCATCTGAGCTGTGTAGTACACATGGTTACACAGCCTTGAGCATCAACACAGCAGAGAACAAGGGAGCTGCAGCTACCATACCAAAATACCAAGAGCCAGTTCAGCCAGTCTCCAGTCATTGTTTATCTTCTGTGGAAGAAATGGCGTTGTTTCATGCTAAAGAGATTAGTGTATTTCAGAAGAATTTTTATTATCATGACTTCTATATGAAACCTGACACCAAGTCCAGCCTCTATAATTCCTGTGATTCCAAAGACTAAAAGATAGTGGTTCTGAAAGGTAGCCAAGAGAGCCAGACCATCCATCCAGCCAAAGCTTGCAGGAACAGTGGTAGTTTAGAAATTGCATGGCTAAACAAAGTCCAACAATCAAAATATTCATTCAAAAGAGTGAATGTAGTTTGTTAGTATGTTAGTTTAATGTGTCAAAGTTAAAGAAATGGTTCCAACTGTCCATCCATCCATTAGCTTAACCTGCTTATCCTTTAGCTGGTTGCGGGGGCTGGAGTTAATCCCATTGGGTGAGATGTGGGTTACACACAGGTTGCTGGTCAATCACAGGGCTGACACATAGACACAGAAATAGTATTCAATTTGGCTATTTACTTATACATGTCAATCAAAACACCAATTAAGCTTGTAGGTTGACCGAACAGGTTAGCTGGCACTGTTCTCTCTCTCTCTCTCTCTCTCTCTCTCTCTCTCTCTTCTAAGTGTCCAAACCACCAGAAATGGGCAAATGTGGTATTCATAACAGCTTTACATAAATCATCAGACTGGACTGTGCAGTACAATTCCAACCTGGCAGGGTTTTTTCTTTTAGGAACTGGCCTTCTTGGACGTGACACGCTGTGCTATGTAAACACCGGAGAGATCTGACACCAACCGCCAGCCTCTCACACAGTTTCCTTTATTGGTCTTCTCTGGCTCATTGTCAGACAAGACGTCTGCTGAGCTGCCAGGTACAGCTAAAGCCCAGCACCATCCCTTCATCTGCTTACGTAATGCAGAGGGAATTTTTGCTGAGGCCTGGTAGTTGTACCAGCTGGGTCTGGAGTGAAAACACAGAAAATTCCTACAGCGAGAGGCTGGAATGATGTTGCTGATTCTGGTTGCTGCTCTACAGGGGCTATTGTAGCATGCTCCTATAAACACCTCATTCATTGTGGGTGAACTCTTCACCCTGGGGTGTTGAGAGGCTTAATTCTGTTGCTGCCTGTGGTAGCTGTATGTTTGAACACAGTTGGGGTCCAGAGATTTGCTAAACTGACTTTATGGTCCACGTTTGTCCTGTAATTTAGAAATGTAATGCCTTACACATAATGGAAATATAAATAAATGGCCTTGTGGGGTTGCTTTCTTTGTCTGCAACTCTGAAATAATTGGCTCTTTCACCACAGGATTGTGGAGCTAACTTATTCACAAAGTCTATACCGCCGAGTGTGATTCCAATATCAGCAGCTACTTTTTATGAAGTTGGTTATCTCCTACCACCTTGGAGTGATACACTGAGGATGGTAATGTCAGACAGCAGCCACAGCAGAGGTATCCATGTATCTCTGTTACACTATCACTTTACTGAAGGTTTCAGGGTATCTACCCTGTTTTCATCTGATACAAGGTGTCCTTCATCGTTTGCTATCATGACAGATTCTATAACTTGTGAATGTTTGTTCGTCTCCTCTGAAGTGTGTCAAGGATTGAATGTCCTTGCTCAGCTTACGCACATACTGATCAGATTCAGAGCAAAATCTGAAGTCTGCAGAAGGTTGCTCCAGGCAAAACAAAAATATGCTACTTCGTTCATTACACTTGAATGTAAAAGAGAGCAGTGTCTGTATTATGCTCTGCAAACATGCATAAAACCTACAAATACAGTTTTAAGTATTGAAACTTCAGGAAGAGTTCTCCATGGCAGCAACCACAAGAGTAAGTGCAGAGTGGAGTTGGATTTGGGTAAAACTGCAGCCACTAAACAGAGAGCAGGACTAGATCAAACAGAGGGACGTCATCTCTCTACAGCCTGAGGCTTGTTATGGCTGTGTCGAGAGCATTCCCTTGGTTATTTTCTACTGAGAATTATCCAATCTAACAGGCATCATTCTTCCTTAGAGCTTTGGTGCTGCTCCAATGGTTTTATACTTTTCAGAACTCAAATGCTTAGATTTCCCTTGTGACTAAAAGCTTGCTGGAGGCGTTATTAACCAGCAATACTATTAACACAACATAATATACCGTAGATGGGAAAATGTCATGCTGTGTTGATCACTGGACAGATGCAGTTTGGAGTAAACTGTGACATTTGATACTTTGTTGCCAGTTTCAGTCATGTCAGATAACCTTGGCATTTTAACAGCCTACAACTCTGATACAATGTTGTTGTGTTATGATAGGATTTGCCTGATTTATTATAATAACATTTTTAGATCAATCCGATCTCATTTTGCTGTGCTATGTCTGTCATTATATAATGATTGACTTTTGTTGTCTTTTTTTTGCTAGTTTGGGAATGTCTTGTTGAACTCATTTGGTAAATCACTCGAGACACTGGAAACTGAACGCATATAACAAATGGCTAGCTCTGTAACTCCAAAATGTATTTCAAATAGAGCGGTACACGTCAAAGATCACAGCCACTTGTTGTCAGAAGAATTCTCATACAGTGTGTGGTGTGTAAGGACTCTGATCTTGCCCCTCATGTATTTTAAAGATGTTTGATGTTTTATGACTAGGACTGGGACCATCAACATCATTTTAAAAAAGTGCTCTCAGGAGTCTATAGTGTCCTCCACCCGAATTACCTTCACCTAAATGTGACCTTTGTCGTTTCTTTACATTTTCAGTGCAAATTGGGCAAATCATATCTGAGCAAACTGGATGTCTATTCCTGTTACTGTGGCAACAAGTGGCTATTAAATGTAGCGCCTGAAGAAATTCAGTGTGTATTCGGTTGTTTCCTCGTGGTTGAAAAGCACTATTGTCAGTCTTTTTGGATAAAACAGTTGAATACTAAATGAATGTAATGTACTGTCACACACTCTATGACTTGTCCTCTGCTGTTGTCTGCCAGTATGTGCTTCTGACAACGTTGGCAGAAGTTGATGTGTGTGCATGGTGTGTGGTATTTGTAGGTTTCAGTGATCCTCTGGTGTCTCAGGCTGAAGCAGATGCTATATATTGTGTTTAAGTGTGGTAAGTGTGGTTTCTTGCAACTGTGTAATGGCAGCTAGTCTGTGAAGACATGCTGTGCAAGATCTGCGGTAGCTAACAGGTGGTTTGAGTTCACGTGCGTGTGGTGTCGTTGAGTTCACTGTTGTTCATGTCACCTTTATGTTGGTGTCCAGGTTAGCCTGTGCAGCTGCTGACGACACATTCTTCAAAGCTGTGCCATGCAGCTCACTTTGACACCTTACCACTGATGACCTCTGTCCCACTTGTCCCAGTACCAACTCTCAACCGTCCATCTCCTCTGAAGTGTGTCAAGGATCAAATGTCCTTGCTCACACACACACACACTTTTCAGAGCTAAACCAGAAGTCTCCAGAAGGTTGCTTCAGGCAAACACAAATGTGTTACTTTGTTCGTTGCACTTGTAAAACACAAAGTGTCTTTCATTATACTCTGCAAATATGCATAAAGGCTATGAGCACAGTTGTGTAAGTATTGAAGCTTCAGAGAGTGTTCTCCAGGACAGCAACCACAAAACTCAGACTGCAGTGTAAGTCTGGAAGTTCAGTTTGAACAAAACTGCAGCCACTAAACACAGAGCAGGACTAGATCAAACAGAGGGGTGTCATCTCTCTACAGCCTGGGGTTGTTATGGCTGTGTTAAGGCCTCTGCACACCAAACCAACCCGATTATCGCCGTATTGCGTCGTCGACAGTCAGGCGAGGTCGGTGGCTCAGTCCGGTTCGGTGTGTCCCGTGCCGTCGTCAGTCGGCGTCGGCCTTCCATTTTGGCCGATTCGACATGTAGGAATCGC